CATTTCCTTGGTGTCTGGGTCCACTTCAATGATCTCCTGGTCGAGGGCAGAGACCTGGGGATGGAGAGCAGAGAAAGGTGTGACTGATGAAGTCCCATAACTGCCAGGTTGTTGTGCTTCTCTTTACAGAGAAAATCTGACAGGTGTGGCACGTAAAGAGTCATTGCCAGGGATTCATGTCCCAAAGGGCATGGAAAGGATCCATGTCCTGCCATCCCCTCTACCAGGGGATTGTCCACTTGGGCAGAGACAGATTCCCCGGTAGGTCAGCTGGACCAGGGTGGTGATTCCCAGCGTGGTGACCCTGATAACAACTCCATTCCCAATGGAGCACTCAGGGATTATTTCTGCCAGAGCCCTGTGATCTCTGATAAGGCTCTGGCTGCAGCTGCAAATGTTTATGCCACACGGAGAGAAACATTGAGTGTTTTCAGCTGCATGGCCAGTACCGCCCACTGGGCAGCCAGCAAACCCAGCAGAAGCTAGGCCAGTGGGAACTGATAACAAGTATTTTCAGGATTTTCTTTTGCTTTACCTCTCCTCATTTACCTGCTGTCTTTGGGATGTTCTCCATACATGCTTTGTTGATTTAATTTGTGTTTTAATGAGTTGTGTTAAGAAAGCAGGTCGTAAAGGTCCCCTCAGCTACTCCTGCTGCTCCAGCCCCTTCCCCAGCTTCATTCCCTTCCCAGGACACGCTCCAGCTCCTCAACGTCCTTGTCGTGAAGGGCACAGAATTGACAACAGGATTTGGGGTGTGGTCTCCCTCAGAAGTGCCCAGCACAGGGGACTGGCTCTGCCCTKGGTCTGTGACCACCCCGGGGCTGGTCCAAACAAGCTGCCATTGCCCACCAGGGCATACCTGGGCTCACGTCCAGCCGCTGTTGCCCGACGACCCCGGGTCTCATCCCCACCCAGCGCGGGGACCAAAGCAAAAGCCGCGCTCTGGATCGCACAAACAGGGAGCAACCGATTTGCCCGAGACTGATGACGCGACTGCCGCTCCGCGCCACGATTGGCCGTGGGTTCCGGAGGCTATAAAAGGCCGGAGTGCGAGCCGGGGGGCTGATAATTCCGTGAAACAGCGGGGCAGCGAGAGGTGGCAATGGAACGGGGGTCTTTCATGCTCGGTGTGCTGGCGCTGCTCGGCCTGGGGGCGGCCGGTGGTGAGTGTCTGGGGCGGCGTGAAGGGTCGTGCCGGGGGTGAAGGGCTGCGGGATCCCGGTAGGTCCCGGGCACTGCGCCGGCGTGGGTGGGCGAGCGTTGGCACCGCAGCGCCGCTTCTCATATGCCCTCGCCCCTCTCTCCAGAGCCGATGGTCAAAGTCTACGCTCGTCCACGCGCTGAGGGGGGAAAGGAAAACATCCTCGTCTGCATCGTCAGGGGCTTTTCCCCAGAGCCGCTTGACATCGATCTCCTGAAGAACGGGGAGCCCATGCCCAGTGTCAAATACTTGTCCTTCGGAGAGAAGGGGCAATACCTGCTCTATGCGCCCTTCTCCCGCACGAGTGGTGACACCTACTCTTGCAGGGTGGAGCACTCCACCATGCCGGAGCCACGCACTTACCAGTGGGGTACGCTGTGCCTTCCTCCCGCATGCTGGAGCTCCGTTGCTTTATATCTGTGCTGTCTCTGTTCCTTTTCCTGGAAAGCAGGGTGTTGTAAACAGGTGGGGTTTGAAGGCCTTGTGTTAGAGATGGAGAATAAACTTGRTTTTAGCTGAAAAGGCTGTTACACATACCTGTGAAGCATTCAGGGAGGAAAAGCATTGGTGTTAATCCATAGGGATTTGGTGATGGTGTATCGTCTGATCTCTGCCTTGGTGAACTTACCTAGGTAATGGGTCATGCAGTGATTTTTTTGCTTTATTTTGTGTGAATATAAAGAAGGATGCAGGAGTCGGGGCGGGTGGTGGTA